TGATAAAGCTACGCAAGTCTTTTTGTAAAGAAAATCATACTTTGTCTTAGAGTTTTGTAAAGCTCAAAGACTCAACTTTGAGAATATGAAACGGTTTTTTTGGAAAAAATTGCGTAAATTATGTGTAAATTCAATTTAAACCAAAAAAGAACTTTTCCTATATTAATTAAATCGGAAACTAAAATAAAAATAGCGACCCCTTAGATTTGAGCTATAGGGCTCATGTTTGGCGAGGATTTTTTTTACATCAAATAGAAACATTTGCGGGGGTAAGAATTAGAAAAAAAAAATTAAAAATTTTGTTTGAAGCACCCTACTACATATATGTAAGTGTATTTGGACATTTCTCAATCGTCATCATTTAGGTAAACCAAGTCAGTGACTAAAAATGTTCCCCGTAAACAAAATATTTGAATTTTTCCTTTACGATTACCAGAAATATTTTTAGAAGATTACACGTTATTTAATATTGTCGACCAGTTTTCGTAATCTTGATAATTCTTCCATTACGAGGGAAAGTTCGATGGACCGTATAGCAAAAGTAGTCCTCGTTCTTTTTACTCCGTATAATGAAATTTCTGCCCTATTGAATAGATTGTAATCAGTTACAAGGAGGACAAGATTCAGCTGTCCTTTGCAGATTGCTCATTCCTTTATTATCACAGTTCTAAGAAAATCTCATTATAAATTTTACTTTCAATTACACGAACGGTGGACGTGCGTTTACATTAATAACTTCTGTATCCAGATAAACGAAAATAATGTATTATCTTTTTTTGTGTGTTTCGTTTGCCAACACAAAGAGCTTATGAATATTAATATACGGTGGGGTAGGTACTTAATATTTATTTCGTGACTTTTGATTTTGGGAGAGTGTTTACCTTTTGCTTTTCAAACTGCTACTAACCTAGGAGCCATTCTGAATATTCATTGCACTAAAAATTGTAAGCGACAAATTCGTAAGTAATATCAGTTTTTGGAAGTTGTTACAGGATTATACAGTGGAAATACATATTTATGATGATAAGCAGTATTGGAAGAATAATTCAAAATTTTTACGTATGTAATGGAGTTACGAAACCGTGGACAAAAAATTTTATAATAAATTAGAATCATTTTAGTTTCATTTTATTATTCTCTGTGTTTATGCCAGATTTATACTCGCCTTGAGGTGGTAAGCGATGAGTGATTTGGCGAAAATGTTTTTCATTGTACTGTTGAGAATCAATACGTTAGAAAAATATAGGGTTGTTAGGAAAGTAATTTCGTTTTTTCCCGACAGAGGATTTAATTGTATTCTTTTGCACCCAACTTCACATTTAAGCCGTATAATTTTTATATGCTTTGAGAGTTCATATAGCAAGGCTTGTGTGTGAAAAATTCCAATTAATTCTACGCAGTAGTTTTTGGTTGGTGCCCTTTTAAATATGGAGAGCGATAAGCAGCATTTTCGACATATCTTACTGTTTTACTACAGAAAGGGTAAAAATGCTGTTCAAGCCAGAAAGAAATTGACTGATGTGTATGGAGAAGGTGTGTTGACAGTACGCCAGTGCCAGAACTGGTTCGCTAAATTTCGATCCGGCAATTTTGATGTCGAAGATGCACCACGTTCGGGAAGGCCGGTTGAAGCTGATAAAGACGCGATAAAGGCATTAGTTGATGTGAACCGGCGAATAACAACACGTGAGATCGGATTGAGGTTAAATTTATCAAATTCAACAGTTTATGACCACTTGAAAGGCCTGGGATTATCCTCGAAGCTCGATGTATGGGTTCCCCATGTTCTCACAGAGAGAAATCTGTGTCGCCGCATTGACGTCTGCGATTCGCTTCTCAAACGTCACGAAAATGATCCGTTTTTGAAGCGCATCATCACTGGGGACGAAAAATGGGTTGTATACAACAACGTCAAACGCAAGAGGTCATGGAGCAAAAAAGATGAACCGGCTCAAACCATTTCCAAAGCCGATATTCACCAAAAAAAGGTGATGCTGTCTGTTTGGTGCCAGCAAAGACCAAAAATTTTATGAGCGTGGAATTATGCTACTACCAGAAAGATGGCAAAAGGTGTTGGACCAGAACGTCCAATATATAATTAATTAAAGTATTTGTTTATTATACGAAAACTGTCTTTCATTTCCACAAAATAAAAACGAAATGACTTTCCGAACAACCCTATAGATTTCATGAGCAGGTTGTTTTACTTACCATGTTAACTTCTGAAATTGCATCAAAACTTGCTATTGTCAGATCCATCCCCACAAACAGAGGTTCACCTATAATTACATAAGAAATGATTGATTCACTGTTTTTATGTTTTTAGGGTTCTGTATGTCCGAATGAAAAACAAAACCCTTCTAGGATCATGCATGTGTCTGTCTACTCCAAATCTACTGGACCGATTAGGATAAAAATAATAATTCCCCCTCTCTTATCTCCGAAACTACTGAACCTAAAATTTTGCAAAAAATACAGGAAATAGTTCTTTACATATAGATTACAGGAAAATTAATAAGAATTAAGTCTATGATCTGAACCTCTGAACATAACGTCGTTGCAGTTTAAATGTATAGGAAAACATGTTATGTTATGTTAAATTGCTTCTCGTTTTTCATTCGGACATACGGAACCCTTATAGGATCACACGTGTGTCTGTCTGTCCGTTTTTTAAATAATATTACGAAAAGTGTAAACCAGCTGTTTCTCTAGTTGTAAGGCAACATTCTCAATCCGCTGTGTTATAATAATCAGTAATCACAACAATAGTCAACAACAGCGACATCAGTCTTGCTTATTGGGAGTATGTCTTGAAATTGGTCTCGTTCTTGCGAAATCAATTTTTCTTTTTGCAAGAAAAGTTTAAAAAAATTAAATTATATATTGCATGTGCTATGTTCATAACTTTGCAATTTCAAGTCTATCTTTTTTTAAATTAAGACTTCTGTAACCTGTCGTTATTCTTCAAGCAGAAAATCGCAGACATGAGCATACAATAGTTTTTTCTTTTGATTTTAATTGACCTTTAGTTAACTCAGGAACACCCCGAAGGTACATCTCACTTCTCACAGTTAAGTGCCAACCCATTCGGAACACTTCAAACGTGATACAAGTAAAGAGACGAATTATCCAACAAATACGCCATTTCATAAAAATTGAAAATGGCGCGCCCGGTAGATATATATGAAAAATATGTGCCTTTTTTGTGTATACAGTAGAATTCGTTTATTATGACTCCGGCTATATAATAGCAGTGTTAAGTTTGGTTTTCATATTAAATTCACTATAGGAAAGTTTGGATGTAATGACTCCGTTTAAAATTACATGTCGTTTATTATGACTGATTCTCAAGAAATCATATCCGGCTATAGTAACCCAAATGTTTAATATGTAATAACATTTTCAATTCATCATTCTTTTTCTTTTTCTGTTAATAAATATATACAATTTGTAGTTTTCCTCTCTATTAAACTAAATAACTAACCAAAATAGAAAGTTGTTTATTTTCTAAGACTATGTTTTGTATGACG